GAGCTGAGAGGCAGCACCCAGGCCCAGAGTTCAGGCCCCATGACCGACAACATATATAGATATAGATATATAGATATCTGTAGATAGATATAGATATAAATGAAGACATTGATCAAGATACAGTGTATTCCTATACTAATTGTTGAATGGCAGCTCCTTTGTACAACACTTACAGATAAAAAATAAAATTTAAAAAAAAAACCATAGAGATGAATGTGAAATGAAAACAATGCTGAGTAGCCCAAACAATCCAGCAAGGTGATAAGTAATTGAATATTTCACTGATAGTAAAAAAATCTTTATTGTGTTCATTCCCAACATACTATTTTGTTCTTGGATGTTGCTAAATCTATAAATCAGTAGGAAAAGCTGGGAGGGAGGATTGCTTGGTTTTTTTGCCTTTGTTTTTTTTTTTATTCTATCCAGTCTACATACAAGTGAATTTAGTAGCTCAAAAACTGAATTACCCAGGTGAAAAAAAGGAAAAAAATTCTGCAATATGTAACAATATGAATTAAACATGAAGGCCCTGACCTAAGTGCAATAAGCCAATAACAAAAAAATAACCACTGGGAAAATTGGTAGAATGCTTGCCTAGCAATTATATGCCCTGTATTCAAATTCTAGCAAGAGATATGAAAAGATTTCATGTGGAAATTGGCTACAATGTGGTGAGTGGACTGAAGGGCTAGAGATCTATAAGAATCACCTGATAAGGGTCTGAATTTGATTAAGTAACAGAGAGATAGACAAAAGGGGATATCAAGTTTAGGGCAGATCAGCAAAATTATGTTTTCAAAGTACATAGCATAGTGCCTAAAATACCTCAATAATATTAGTCATCATCCTTATCACTATGACTACCACCACCACCACCACTAATCATCACCATCATCATCATAAAGTAGTATATCACCTATCATCATCAGGGTATTAGAATCTGGTGGTTACATAAATTAAAAGGATAAAGAAAAGAAAGAAACCAACAGAATTTTTTAAGTGTGAAAGTAGATATGTTGTTATTCCAAAAGAATAAGAATGGGGCACTAGCTGGACAATAGCTCTCATCTGTCATCCTAGCTACTCAAGAAGCTGGGATCTGAAAACCAGCTTTCAAAGCCAGCCTGGAAAAAAAAGTCTGTAAGACTCATCTCTGATTAACCAGCAAAAAGCTGAATGTGCTAGAATGCTAATCTTGAGCGAAAAAAATCCAAGTAAGAAGACAAGGCCCCCAGTTCAAGCCCCAGTACTGGCTAAAACTCAAACTAACAAATAAAAACCAGGATGCTGTTTGCAGTGAGGATGAGGAAGATTAATTAGATGTTAACTTGCTAAGTTTAAGTAAGGTACCTATGGAATTTAGATGAACATGGCAGATAGTAGGATGACTGGAGATGGAGAATACAATCACTACTTTCAAATAGTAGTGCTTATTTGAGCCCTTAAACCTTGGCTTAGGATCCAGGAGAATGAGACATCCAAAGTCTTACCAGTTATTTAAAAAAAAAAATCTCAAAATGGACTAAAGACTGAAATTATGATACTCCAGGAAGAAAACTTTAGGAGAAACTTTTCAGGATGTTAGGACAAGCAATGATTCTCTAGACAAGACCCCAAAAGGAAGGAAGCAAAAGCAAACATAAAAAGATAGGATTACATCGAACTAAAAAAGCTTCTACATAGCAAAGAATATAATCAGAGTTCAGAGATAAATGACATGACTAAAACGTGGTATAGGAAATAGTGGATTCCCATGGTGGAAATATTCTGAACAATTAACTTGACAGTTTAACCAAATGAAACAAGAAGCTGAAACATGCTTTGTCTGTAGGGAAAAGACTTAGGGGAAGGGGGCAGATGAATGGAGAGAGGAAGTAAGTAAATGCAGTCATAATATTCAATGTGCATATATGAAAATGGAACTAGGTAACTTGAGGGGAGAGAGAATGATGGAAAGGGAGACATTGCTCAAGACACATTGTACACATAAATGGACATGTTAGATTTGAAGTACATTGTACAACTACTTAACAGAAAATAATTTATATTTTAAAAGAGAAAAAGTACAGAATGAGAGAAAATATTTGCATGTCATACATCTCATAAATGGTTTATATCAGAAAGTATAAGAAATTTGCAAACCTCAACAGTAAAAACAACCCAATTAAAAAAGAGAGAACTCCATATCTTAGCTATGGTAAATAATGCTGCAATAAACATAGCTGTGCTGGTAGCTTTAGTATGATCTTGTTCAGGATCATTTGGGTAAATGCCCAAAAGTGGGATTGTTGGGTCATAGGGGAGTTCTATGTGGAGTCTTTTGAGGAACAGCCATACTGCTTTCCAAAGTGGTCGAACAAGTTTACACTCCCACCAACAATGCGGTAGGATTCCATTCTGTCCACATCCCCTCCAGCATCTGTTGTTATTAGAGTTCTTTATTATAGCCATTCTAACTGAGGTAAGGTGGTATCTCAGTGTTGTTTTGATTTGGATTTCTTTTATGGCTAGGGAGGTTGAGCATTTCTTCACGTGTCTATTGGCCATCCTTCTTTGCTCTTCAGAGAAGTTTCTCTGTAAGTCTTTAGCCCACTTATTTATTGGGCAGTTGTTTCTTTAAAAAGAAATTTCTCAAAAAATTACATTCTAGGAGTGGAAGCCCATGCCTAGAATCCCAGCTCTGGACATTTGACACAGGAGGACTGCAAGTTCAAAGACAATCTGAACTATATAGTGAGACATCTCAAAACAAAACAAAACAGAAAGAGGCCATAAATGGACAAGTAGACAGAAATATTAAACATTATTATCAGGAAAAATGAAAATGAAAAAGATATCATATCACTCCACTAAGAACTATTATCAAAAATATTAAAGACTAGAGTAACAAGAATATGGAGAAAGGGAATTCATTTTTTTTGGTTGGTCATGGGGCTTGAACTCTGGGCCTAGGTGCTGTCCCCTCAGCTCTTCAGCTCAAGGCTAGCGCTCTACCACTTGAGCCACAGTGCCACTTCCAGTTTTCTGGTGGTTTACTGAAGATAAACATCTCATGGACTTTCCTGCCTGGGCTGGCTTTGAACCTCAATTCTCAGATCTTAGCCTCCTGAGTAGCTAGAATTACAGGCATGAGCCACCAGTGCCAGGTTGAGAAAGGGAATACTTGCACACTACTAATAGGAATTTAACTTAACTTCAATCATTATGGAAAGCGGCATGAAAGTTTCTCAAAAAGATAAAAATATAAATACCATGATTCAGCAATCCCACTACTGAGTAGGTATATATCCAAAGGAAATTAAACTCATGGGTCAAAGAGACATCTGCACTCCCATGTTCATTATTGCATTATTCCCAATAGCCAATGAAAGAAAACTGAAGTATCCATCAACTGATAAATGATTTTTTTTTTGGTCAGTTGTGGAGCCTGAACTCTGGGCCTGGGCGCTGTCCCTGAGCTCTTCAGCTCAAGACTATCACTCTACCACTTGAGCCACAATGTCACTTCCAGCTTTTTCTGTTTATGTGGTTCTGAGAAATCGAATCCAGGGCCTCATGCATGCAAAGCAAGCACTCTACCTCTGAGCCACCTTCCCAGCCCCTCATAAATGGATTTTTTTTAATCTGTGGTACATAGAATAAAACACTGTTTCACTATTAAAAAAATTGAAATTCTGTCATTTACAATAGCATGTATGGAATTGGAAATCAGTATGTTACATGAAATAAGGTAGGCACAGAAAGAAAGTCCTGATTATTCTCACTCACAAGCAGAATCAAAACAAAATTTTGGCTGTGTCCTGTCATGCTTGTAATAAGCCCAGCTATTCAGAGGCTAAGACCTGGAGGACAACAGTTGAAGACAGAAAATTTTATTTTCTAAGTTTAAATTTTGGTGAACATTTAGAAAACCACAAATTCAAATCCAATGGCTGAATTTGTTAACAATAAATCTAAATACAATAGAATTTTAAAGTTGTACATACCCATTATATATACATATATATATATATACATATATATATATATATATATATATATATATAAGCAAAAGAGTAAATGTGAGGTTTCACACCTCATACAGAGTTACTTGATCTTTTTTGTGTGTTTGCTAGTAATAGGGCTTGAAGTCAGGGCCTTGTGCTCTGACAACTTGTTCACTCAAGGATAGTGTTCTACCACTTGACTCACACCTCCTATTCCAGCTTTCTGTTTAACTGGAGATAAGAGTCTCATGAACTTTTCTGCCGAAGTGATCTTGAAACTGTGATCTTCAAATCTCAGCCTCCTCAGTAGCCAAGATTTTAAGCTTGAGCCACAAGCATCCAGATTATTTGTATTTAAAAATAAAATCACTCAGTTAAAAAAAAAAAAAAGATGCAGCCAGGTGCCAGTAGATCACACCATATTTCCAATGAGCCACAAAAAAAAACCTGAAGTGGAGCTATGCCTCAAAGTGGTAGAGCACTAACCTTGAGAGTTCAGGGACAGTGCCCAAATCCAAATCTTGAGTCCAAGCCTGACAACTGACCCCGCCCCCCAAAAAGATGCACTTGGTTTATTCTTAATATTGGAAATAATGAAGTAATTTAATAGTAAAGTATATATACTACAAATATCACATATTATTGGTAAATATTAACCAATCCCAAACATTCTTCTACTTTAAGAATTTGAGGACTGGGAAGGTGGCTCAGTGGTAGAGCGCTTGCCTTGCATGCCTGAGACCCTGGGTTCAATTCCTCAGCACCACATAAGCAAAAAGAAAAAAGCCGGAGTGGCACTGTGGCTCAAGTGGTAGTGTGCTAGTCTTGAGCTGAAGAGCTGAGGGACAGTGCCCAGGCCCAGAGTTCAGGCCCCATGACCGGACCCCCCCCAAAAAAGAATTTGATATATGTATATATGCACAAATACATACAGACATATGTTCATCTGGTTCAACTTTAATCTTGAATAGATATAGTTATGAAATATTACATGCTACTATTGATAAAACTTACGAATCAACATGCAGAACCCTCTGACCACTCCTTGAACATGCAGCTGCAATGATGGATTCAGGCAAACCTACAAAGACACACATCTATGTCAGTGAGAATGTATTTTACATAAAATGTTCAATTCAGGCTACCACTGTATAGATTAGTTTAACAAGAGATCATCTTTTTAAAAATCTGATTCTGAGAGGTATTTTTAAAAGCACTTAAATATTTTATGTACAAATTAGCAAAACTGAACAAATGAAAATAAATTGTTTATAAATCTTGGTGATCCTCTCTACTGTTTGACCCATTCTAGAAATAAAAAGAATCTGAAGTTCAAGGTGAACTTGTTGCTTACTTCTAGAGTTTTGAAACCTGAACTGCAAAGCCACATTGTCTGTGAGGGGAGAGTGAGTGAGTGAGTGAGTGTGTGTGTGTGTGTGTGTGTGTGTGTGTATTTAGTTTTAAAAGATATGTTAGCTAGTTTTAAAGATGGGTATTGTGTGTGTGTGTGTGTGTGTGTGTGTGTGTATTTAGTTTTAAAAGATATGTTAGATAGTTTTAAAGATGGGTATTTACCAGAGTTTTGAAACCTGAACTGCAAAGCCACATTGTCTGTGAGGGGAGAATGGTGTGTGTGTGTGTGTGTGTGTGTGTGTGTGTGTGTGTGTGTGTGTGTGTGTGTGTGTGTGTGTGTGTGTGTGTGTGTGTGTGTGTGTGTGTGTGTGTGTGTGTGTGTGTGTGTGTGTTTTAGTTTAAAAAGATATGTTAGCTAGTTTTAAAGATGGGTATTTACCATATATATTATTTTGATATTTTGGTCAGTAAAGTGGTTTAAAAAGAAAATATTACTGCCTTGGAATCAAATGTAGTCATATCATAATGCTGATGATCATAAAAGAAAAATATATATTACTCTTACTAGTAAGACCATAACCTTAAAATTACCAAAAATTATGCTTTTATCATTATTTTAAAACTTGAGCTTTTCTGCTACATCATTTAATGCCTATGTTGTAAATTCAGGACACTTCTGTAACTTAGCATAACATCTCTCATTTCAATGGAGACTATTAAATCCTTTATATCAGCCATACAAAATAAAGCATATTGGAAAATTTTCTGCAATACTGTAGAGCTACCATAACCACAAAACACTCAGATCTTGCGTTCTTAGTACCTAGTAGAAAAGAAACAGCTCCGTGTTTGCATGAGTCTAAAGGTCACTAAGTATTGGGGATTTTAGGACAGGGAAAGGCTTTTATCCTTGTATAAAAAGTAATATGCACATGGAAACAATTGACATAATCAATCTTTAAGTCAAAACCACATTAAACACAAGTTCCAGCTACCTTCCCACAGGAACTAGTTGCCCAGTGGCAAACACATTGGGGGTATATAATATGTAGCAAAAAGAAAGTTCTGATCAAATGTTTAAATATAAACATTCAATATGAATTATTGGAAATGAATCATAATAAAGTTTCAATTTTTGCTGTGAATATAATTGTAGAAAAATGAGAATTGCCATTATTCTAATGTCTTTTAATACTACTTGAAGTTTTGGCTATACTTAAGTAAATGTCCTTGTTAATGAAATGTATTCATTATGGTACTTAAGCCAATAAGCAACTTAGTTAAAAGAACAAAGAAATTCTTCTCCCAACACCAGGGGCTCAGGCTCAACAGGCTGAGATCCAGAGGATGGAGAGGATCACAGTTCAAATCCATAATGGTCAGACGACTGCAAGACTCCATCTCCAATTAACAAGCAAAATACTGAACTGAAGGCTTGGCTTAACTAAGCAAGCAAGCCAAACAAATATGGCCCTAAGTGCAACCCTGGTACAGAAAAAAAAAAAAAAAGGACTTAGAAAGCACAACTACTTTATTTAGGATTAGTGCTCTTCTTAAGTAAAAGAATAATAGTATTAACAACAACACTAAGCACCATAAGGTTTTATGCTTCACATCTTATTTTTCATATATTATTTATTCCTCATCATCTTCCTAGGTAATATTATCCAGGTGACTCCATGCATTCAGACATATGGCCAATAGAAATAATTCAGTCTCTCCAATTCAAATTACCATAGTAATTCACTATCTCCAACCTGGACCTAAGTTTAAGAATGAGGATTTACAAGCAGTAAAAGCAACACAGTGAAATGTTCTGAATCAGACGTAGACTTAGATCTTTTTGTTTTTTGTTTAGTAACTAGCTGTGCAAGCTTAGACAAGTCACAAGAGTTTTTTGAATATTGTTTTTTTCATCCTAAATAGGAATGTATCAACCATATAGGACTGTTGAGCTGTGAGAGCAAGGGTACTTGTCTTAGAAACCCTATCAACTCTCATTATTCTTCAGAAAGCTATTCTAGGAGCACTACCCTCCAACTAACACTACTCCAAACATTCTCCTCTTTTAAATAGATGCCACCGCCGATGGTGAACAATATTAGTGTTACTCTCCTCTATTTGGTGCCAAAAAGCTGATCTTTTAGGTAGGCAAAATCTGCATGTGGTTAGTCCCATGCCTACAATCAAACTATCAGAAGTCTAGTTTGCTATGCTGACAAGGCAAAGCCAAGAACAGTTTTCATCATTGAATACAATCTGGGTCAAAATTACACAAAAACAAAATGACTAGCGTTTGTGTTTTGCTTTAATACTTCTATCCAGATAATGTCAAGTTTGTGAGATAGACTAGTCAAATATTACAAGCCTATTATCATCATGCTTAAAGTGATTAACAAACTCAGAATATAGTTATCAATGACTTGTTGGGTCAAGACTTTGTATTTCTTCCATCATTCAGTAAGCAGAGCTCTTAAACACAGGAAGCAGAGTAGATTCTGTACAGTTATTTGTTAAAGAAAGGGAAAGAACAAACAGGGAAGAGGGTGGGGGCAGAGAGACAGAGAACACTCTGGTAGATGGTGGGAGGGGGAGAAAGAAAAGAAAGATGCAGGTGACTCCAAACCTAATAGCCCAGTCCAGTGACCAAGAATTTAAGGAAGGATGAAAAGATGAAAAGGATAAGTTACTGATTAGGTCTTTTAAGTTCTCACCTGAGGAGTGTAGAAAAAGAAAAAAGATCTTTCCATTTCTTGCAAATGGGACAATGTCATTCTTTCTGATGGAGGCATAGAATTCCATTGTGTATGTATACCACATTTTCTTGATCCATTCATCTACTGAGGGGCATCTGGGTTGGTTCCATAGCTTAGCTATGGTAAATAATGCTGCAATAAACATAGTTGTGCTGGTAGCTTTAGTATAGACTTCTTTTGTGATTGTTTGGGTAAATGCCCAAAAGTGGTATTGCTGGGTCATAGGAGAGCTCTATGCGGACTCTTTTGAGGAACCTCCATACTGCTTTCCAAAGTGGTCGAACAAGTTTATACTCCCAACAATGCAGTAGGGTTCCCTTTTGGCCACATCCCCTCCAGCATCTGTTGTTATTAGATTTCTTGATAATAGACATTCTAAGTGGGTAGGTCCCATGGTTTCCCTATTTGCAATAACTAATATATGTCCAGAACAAGCAGAAAGGTCAAAAGCTACGTACATATGACCATATAAGATAGTGTTACGTGAAATGAACCCCAAGATAGGGACACAGGTGGTTTTTTTTCTTTCTTGCTATTGTTTTTTAATGTATTTATAATGTACTATGTGATTTTTTTTTGTTTTTTTGTATGTTCTTCCCCCATGGTATAACAACCCCTGTTGTCACTGTATTTGATTCTGGTGCCCTGCATCTTGTACATACATCTTTCTAATCTGGGGAGGGGAAGAGAAATAACAAAATGCTTAAATAGGGATACAGGTTGACCCATTGTAACAATGAGATATACAAGACACTATGTTGAAAATGAACTTTACAACTTCGGGGGGCGGGGGGAGGGAGGATTTGAGGAGGTGGGAAGGGAAGGGATGGTAGGAGAAAAACAAAGGAGGAGGTAACAATGCTCAACAGGAAATGTACTCATTACCTTACTCATGTAACTGTAACCCCTCTGTACAGTAATTTTACAATAAAAAAATTTTTTAAAAGAAAAAGGAAAAAGGGAAGACCAAGACAGCATGCTTGGCAAAGGACATAGAAAGGAAAAACCAATAGGTGATGCTTTAAAAAGAAAACAAGAGTGTTCAGACTGCCTCATTACATCTTCAAGTCAGCTGTGTTGTGGTGGGGAATGAGCATTTCATTATATTTAATTATCAAGTACTAATGTATTATATGATTATACCACATTTTACTTATCCATTCTTCCATTTGTGGACATTGAAGTTGTTCTCACATCTTGACTACTGTGAACACTGCTGCTAAAACATAAGGCCAGTCACAGAAGAACAAATGTTTACACCTAAAATAGGGCTGAAGGTGTAGCTCAAGTGGTAGAGCACCAACTTTGAACAAAAAAAAGTCAAGTCAGAGCATAAAGGCTGGAAATAAATACATAAACACAAAAATGTGAACCATTTCTGAATCATTACTCAAATTTACATAACATGTGTATGAGGCATTTACATGGAACATATATGGGCTTATAATCAGTTATACAGTCTCTCCTATGAGGACAAATCAGATGACTTTGAAACAGATTACTGAGATCAGAGTCAAATCATAAGCATTAACTGGAAATACTTTTTGTAAAATATTGAGAATAAATGCACAAGTAAATTTTTTGCCAGTCCTGGGGCTTGAACTCAGGGCCTGGGCCCTGTCCCGGAGCTTCTTTTGCTCAAGGCTAGCACTTGAGCCACAGTGCCACTTCCAGCTTTTTCTGTTTCTGTGGTACTGAGGAATCAAACCCAAGGCTTCATGCATGTTAGGCAAACACACTATCACTAAGCCACATTCCCAGCACACAAGTAAAATATTTCTAACTGTAAAATAGGGCTAATAGGGCTGGGAAGGTGGCTCAGTGGTAGAGTGCTTGCCTTGCATGCATGAGGCCCTGGGTTCGATTCCTCAGCACCACATAAGCAAAAAGAAAAAAGCCAGAAGTGGCGCTGTGGCTCAAGTGGTAGAGCGCTAGCCTTGAGCTGAAGAGCTGAGGGACAGCGCCCAGGCCC